ATTTGCACATGCACTGCAATATGTTTTGAATCCATTTTCAGGCTTCTCCCACACTTTCTTGGCTAGAACACATTGCCAAGTTGTTAAGACAATGTGTTGAAAATGAAAATCCGAACGGATTGGGCAATTTCAAAACTTTTATTTAATAACGTCAAATGCATTCGAATATTGAAAACAAATTTAATAAATTTAACGTAGTGGTTGACGCACGGAAAAACCGGAGCAAAAACTTTTATGAAAAGGAGAACACACGCGTTAGTCTCTATAATAAAAGACAATGTGAAGTAAAAATCTATATATGTGTAAGTTCTAAAAACTAAGTAGTTTTGTTAAAAAGGAAATATTTTTTTTTAAATTATTATTTCATGATCTGATAAGTTTATTATATCTTATAAAAACATCTAAGATCCTTTATTTATCCTAAAATAATGCTGTATCAAAAATGGTTTTTTTAAAAAGAACAATTAAATATTCTAATTGTAATTGTAATGGTTTTCAGCCAAGAGAAGTCGCTGTTGGCACGACATTCCAGGTAACCATCAGGGTAAAGAGCTGGTTCATCACTACAGTTATGGTAAGGTAGCAACCCCACCAGAGTTAAAGTTGCTGGTGGGATATTTAACGGGTCATCATGGACTGCGTTATCATCAAAACAAAATGGGTCTGTCGGATGAGATAGATTGTCGACTTCGCTTAGAAGCAGACGGGATTTCCCGTCACATTCTCTGTGACTGCTCAGCCATGATCTGGGCCAGGAGAAGGTCACTGGGCCAAGAACTACTCTCCCCTAATGGGTCTGTCGGATGAGATAGATTGTCGACTCCGCTTAGAAGCAGACGAGATTTCCCATCACATTCCCTGTGACTGCTCAGCCTTGATCTGGGTCAGGAGAAGGTCACTGGGCCGAGAACTACTCTCCCCTACTGACATTAGGAAGTTCTTAATGGCCGGTATTCTGGCTTTCATTCAGAAGGCGGAATGTCTTCTGTTCGGTTAGGGTCTGTTGCAGCACAAAAAATCAACCATGGTCGCAGTGCACCGCTCCGTTTTGAGATGGTACCCCATTTATTCCTATTCCTATATTGTAATTAACATTGAGGAAATATTTGTAATAAGTAGCAAGTAGTATATTTAGGATAACGAAGAAAAGTTCAGTGAGGTGAGAGGAATTTTTAACGAACATATTTTTAGGACAAAAATATTCAAAAGGAGTTGAATACTACCATAAATTTTTCTTTTTTGAAATAAGAAAAACTAACCAATCGAATCAATTAGTAAAATATCGACGTAATAATATTCACATCGTTTCTCATTAAGCACTAAAAGTTTTATTTGCACTCATTAAATAAAGTGTAAGAAGAAAGAAAACCATTTTAGGTTAAGTAAAATAGTTGCAAAGAAAGGAAACAGCAAGAAGAAGCAAAGTGAAAGCGGAAACAAAAGTGCTTGAACAGGCATATTTCTTGTAACCATCAGTTCTTCATTTCCGCTTTGCTATAAAAGTTTAAAGCAAGCTATCTTAACTTTTTTATTGTGTTTATTTCATTTGTAACTACTTTGCAGTACTTTCGGGTACTATTTAAACTTCTCAAGTTGTTTTTACGAAAAACTCTGGATTAAAAAAGGTCCTCCCAGACTGCAATTTATTTCAGCCTTGCAGTAAAATTCGACAAAATTGCACAAAATTTTTCAGTGAATTTTTCAGAGAATTTTGTGGTTACCTGTAAAAATTACTGCCATTACATTGAGCTAAGATACTAAATTTTCGTTAAAATATTCTCATTTGACAAACTGTGAAAATATGTGTTAATTAACAAGGTTCACAAATTTCCTGAGGATAACAAAAATTTTCACAAATTACGTCCTGAAGCCAAATCTCTATGTAAAATTTATTACAGCACTCACTATCTTATAGCCAACATTTTTCCTACTTTATTAACAAAACTTTTAAATTCAATTAACTTAATTAAAGGTGTCCTACCGACAACTTTTCTAGTTGAGACGAGACCTGCGTTTCTGCATTTAGAAAATTCTAGTTCGAGTTTTAAATGCGAAACGATGTTAAAGGATATTTACAATATTTACTGATTAGGACGAGGATTGGAAATTACCAAAGGAAAACTTTAAATGAATCTGCTACTGGCGAGTTTTGTCTTCCAATGACAAACTTATAATCAAACTAGGACTCTCGTTGCTGCTTTAAATAATGTTCACAATTGCCTTCAAATAATTATTGTGCATAATTTTAATCGATTCTGGTATATAAAACCATGGCGTGACAGTTTGAGTGCTGTTAAAGTAAAATGAGGCGAAAGTACGATTTTTTATTCATAATGCTATCTGGAAAGTTAGCACAAAGTGACAGTCTCAACGTTTCAAAGTTATCTTTTCCTTCCGCTTCACTGCTGTCTCCCAACGAATGCAGGTTTTTCGATTTTACCTTTTGCTACACAGAAGCTTAAAACACAGGAGCATTTCGTCCTTTTCTGCATTTATTGTTTTACAGCAATTGCTGTTTGTAATGAGAGCATAACGATAGATAAGACTAACCTAACAGGAGGAAAAAAGCATCATGGAAGGTAAGCAAAAATACATCAAAAAGCATTTCATGCAGACACAAAATACATTTTCCGTACGTAACATCCTTGAAGTACCATCTTCGTGTTTGTCTCCGGACAAGTATTTCAAATCTACTTGGGTTGGTTTAAAATGTCAAAAACGAAATAGAATTTTTAATGAGCTTAGTTTTTTTGTAGAACAACTTAGACATCAAAGTCAAAAATTACAGTTATATCTCTGATTGTAACCAACTTTAAACTTAAATTTTACTCTAAAAGAAACTACGGGTGTTTCTATATACATATATATATCGTCCCTTTCAAACTTATCTGAATTACAGTCAAGACATACTTTTAAAAACATTAAACTTTATAATAATTATATTAAACTCACCCAAAAATACTAGAGACATATTACTTACGGAACAAACCTTTTGTTCAAATTGACTAATACGACTAAGATAGACTGTAAACTGCTTCACGTGATGTAAACTAATGATAATGAATGTTCGAGATTCCTCTATATATTTTTTTCTACATGCTGAAGAAATGTACATTCTTAAAAAGCTTAATAGAAGATATTGTAATCTCAAACATAAGTGTGTTTTAATTTCGGAATCACAAAATGCATAACCTCAATGAAATACTCAATGAAAGTAACTAATTGTTGATAAATATCTATTAAAATTAATTAAAATAAATTGAGAACTAACTGGATGCCACAATAAATTGCTTTTTTTATGAATTATAATTCTCATTCAGTACAATTCAGACACCGTCTAAAATAGCGTCCATATCGTACTTTGATAATTATTTTTAATATAATGATTTGAGCTTGATAAAATTTATTTTGAAGGGAACTGGTTGATAGTGTTTTATTGTGTACGATTGAATGCAAATACATATGCTTTGTATTTATTGATATATGGAGTGTAGGTTGAGAACCTAGTCATCATCCAATTAATATTCTGAAATTGATACCCATAATAAAAATTTAAATTGTTTGAATATTAACGAATGCGCTGTTTTTAACTTAAATTTTTAGAAATTTTCATATTAATGCCAATATATCAAAATTTGTACATTTTTGTAAAAATTTCGCTTAGTTGTAGGTGATGTAATTTTAAATCTTTAACAAGCAACAAAAAGGATATCAAAAAATTATAAGAAAAACTATGAATTTTTATTTTGTGAAAGTTTTTCTTTCTAAATCTAATCAAACTCATAAAAATATTTTATAAAATTTGAAAGTATAGAAATCTTCGTTGTGGAAGGTCTCTAGTATTTTAAGTCTATAAAAAAATATTTCTTTTAAAATAAAAATACTGTGTATGAAATATTGATAATAAAATCATGTAAATAATATTTTCCTAAATTTCAGTTACCGAAATCTATCGAATGAATTTTCAACCCAAGATGAATATGAAATTGTAGCCCGAAGATACAATTTAAAATTATTTATTACTCGCAATAATAAAGCAAATAAAGTGCAAATATACTGATTGATAAAAGTTTTGTTCAAAATGCAAAACTAACAATTTCAAGACGAATAGGAAAAGTATATTGTTTCTTTTTTGCTGTAAACTGAAATCTGAACTCCCAAATTAATTAAATCCTTGAGTGCAGTGTATGAGTTAATAATGCTACAGTTTTAAGTAATTTAATCATGCATCTCAGCATAAGATTAAAATTTAAAGATATTATAAGCTTTTTTCCTAAATTGTGTTTTAATTAAGGCCGAAGGATCTAGCAGTTAACTTTATTTTCAAAAAGTATTGGTTTCGCCCGTGCGAATCGTGGAGTAGCATTAGCATAACTTTCTCAGTATTACGTTCCTAGACTTAGGTTCTATAAATATGAAAGAATTTATAAATAATGCAATAAATAATGCCTCTACAAATAGAATAGTGTTAAAATTTAACAAATAAAAATATGACTAATTAATTCAATTATTCTACAGCTGGTTTATGATTTCATTCTAAGATAAACACAGTAAATGGATTTGTTAATAAAACTTTCACAGCAAATTAACAAAACTCAGTTGGTTAAGAAGCGCTGACTCTGAGCTTCAAATTTGGTAGGGCACGAGTTAAATTCCTGGCACCTGTAGTCTCTAAAAATTATTTACGAATACTTAAATACAAGAATTATTTCCAAGACCACTGACTTTTCAAAAACCTCTTCTAAACTTAATTTTAATATTAAGTCACAAAAAAATAAATTATCAAGACTGCTGTCTTGATTCTAAATATATGCATGTAAATTTGTTTTTCTAATTGATAGTAGAAAAATTTGATAATTGATATAATATATTGTATGTAATTCCATCGTAATTGTATACTGTGATCGTATTCCCATTTTTATCTAAGTTACCAATAATTAATAAAATTTTGATGGATAAAAACTAATAAAATATTTATATAATCGAATTTGTTAAAAAACAATTCAAATATATTTTTAAGTAATAATAATAGGACTCTAACGTTACGGGTTTAAGTTTGTAAGCTCCATTAAAAATGGAGCTTACAAGCAAATCAAATCGTCAGAAGGTGTCAACGGTAATGACAACAATATATATAAATATATATAAATTAGATACAAAATTTGTAAATTGTATTCACAAAATTAAAGGTTTCCTGTTTTTTAAATATAATATACTTCTATATCTATAAGATGTACTATATAATTTTTAAAAGATAATATGTTTCTCCCATATTAATCCTCATTTTAAGAAAACATATCAAATTTTCTTTGTGTTTCTAATTTTTATATTTTAAGGTTTCAAAATTCTCCGATATATGTCTGGCAACAATGACTACATCATCAGAGGAACAAATAGGAGAAAGAACCAATAACAGTTTCACATGCCCATTACAAAATTGTAGAGAACTCCTCACTGAGTCAACAATTTTATCACATTTCTTATTAAATCACAACGAAGGGATAGCCTTCAAGGAAGTTACTCATAAACATCACGTATTATTGCAGTTTGCTGTTGACAAATTGGAATTCAATAAAAATTTTTGCATTGGCTACCTGCACTATGATGAAAATACGGAGGATGAACCGTTTGAATCACAAAATATATTCGCCTACAACTTGATACTGCCGGAAATAGCATCTCGCTATGGAGAGCATGCTCCGGTTGTGGTTATGAGCTGCTTAACGACTTGGACTGCATTAGCAAAAGAGTCGGAATTAGTAGCCAAATATGCCAACTGTAATAACGATCTCCAAGTTCTTCTTGTATGGTTAGTTGGAACAGAAGCTACCGTTAAGAAATTATTCACGATTCGTGCACATGACAGTACACTTTCTGAATCTAGAAGCATTGAATTATATCCAAGAAATATCAGGAAATCGCAATTGCCAGAAGACATTACAAAAGACGAAATTAACATGTTAGTTTTAAGTCGATTCGAAATCAAATTGCTGTCTCAGAATCAGAAGGAAAAAATTATAATTGAGGTTTTTCCAAAAGAAGAGGAAAAGAAAGTTAATCCAATGCAAAGTTAATTAATGTGTAAACAATTCTTCTAATTATGGGAAAATTAAGTATTTAAGAAAATATCTTTTATATTTATTTAATAAAAATATGAAATTGTCGTTCACAAAATATAAATAAAATTGATATATATATGCTAACGTATGTAGAGTCAAAAAGGATTTGCTCTAAATAAATCCATAGCCTACAGAAGAAATATATTGTTAATTAATCTGCAGTTTGTCAACACCCGTCTCTTCCGTTGGACTAAATCCAAAACTACACACTAAATTATTGTGGATTGGTTTTAAAGTACATATCATAATAATAATGTATGTACGTCATACGTAAAATGGTATTGCAATAAAAATAAACATAATTATTAAAAAAGTTAAACAAGGAAACTAATTAAATTAATTTATAAATGGAACGAAATTGATCGATTCGCGAAATTTGTTTTCCAATGGTTTTACACGCTCATTTGCCGATTTGCACATTTAGCAGAAACTGCATTAATAATTAAATATTTTTCAATCATAAAAAGAGCAGTGGAAAACATATTTCAAACTTAAAACAAGCATAATCCATTAATTAAAATTTAATTTAAAAAACTTAAATGAAATCAATTAAAGCACATATTTCAACCACAAGCCGCATTAATGTTGAATTTGATAAATATTAAATTCGTGGTACTTTTAATAGAGTTTTCACGGGACAAACAAAATCAACAGTTGAACTCAAACAAAAAGCCTTTCAGCTTTTTTATCAGCGCAGATAGAAAATTAATTTTGAAATGATTTAAACCGCAGTTTATTGCAGCTAATGGCGCACATTGTGCAGTTTTTGTATGTGACGCTTCGATAAAAAGCATCGACGGTATCAGGTGAAAATGTGTTACCACTAAAAGCGTCCATAAACTGTTAATAGTACTGATTTCAATCCGCTGGCTATCAAATTGCAAAATAAGTGTTCGAATCCTAGGGCGTCTTCTCAATAACACCGAAGCATCGATGCTCATGCATTATATAAGTGAATTTAACTCGCTTCAAAGTTTAAAAGCAGTGTTTTCAGATATTGCAAATATTTACTTTTAAGTTTCTCATTTTGTGTTTTTAATATTAATGAACCAAATACGCTTTAAGTGCTCCATTCTTTTTTCAGTTAAATATTCCAAATATTTTAAAATTGCATTTTCAGTGAATGTATTTCTTCGCCCGCGGTCCTTCTCTGATACCAAACTTAGTGATAATGTGTAAGAATAAAAGGCGAAATCCCCTCCAATAAAGACTTGTGTGTAAACCATAAGTTTATAAGGCGTAAATTTCGTCATCTATGTCGATCTGGATAAACTTTGATATGAACCTTGAATATTAAATTAAATACTTTTACGATGACACTTTCATTTATTATGTAGGATTTGACGTAGTCCATAATCCTCGATTTCCCTAACAAATATTTATACCCGAAATTCATTGTATCACATCGTATCACACCGAGTCGAAGTGCTGATAACTATCAGCACCCTTCTCAACCTAACCGAACCTAAAAGAATCTATTTTACTACATTTTATATATCTTGTTATTCTTAGTAGACCCTTTTATATTTCATGTAAATTGCATTAGCATAAATTCATTTCTCAAAGTTTATGTGTAAAAATTATACTGTGCTTAATTTTAAAGTTCTTCACGAAAACGTTGGGCACTTTAAGTTTATCAGATTGATATTTTGGGTTAATACTTCACATTAAACTCTCATAGATGTGGTATGTCGGAAACTATAAACGCAGATCTTATTCAAAACAAACTTACTGATCTTGACTACGCGGATGACATCTGTTTGCTAACACATAACTTTTCCCAGATGCAAGTATCGTTAAACAACATCGCAAAGCGCTACATCGCTACATTTCGAACAACGGCTGCAGTCGGCAAGACATTCAGCACAGGTTATCGAAAGCGAAGAAAGCACTTGGAAATCTTGACAAAATCTGGCGTTCATCCAACATCACACAACGCACTAAGACGCATCCTTCATGTATTCTGGCCAGCAACCATAACCAATAATGGGCTCTGGTTTAGAACGAATCAGCCTCTTATAACTGATGAAATATAATGCGCAAATACATATGGTTTGGCCATACTTCAAGAAAACCCGCTGATGACATCGCAAGAAAAGTTCTAGATTTCAGCCCTCAAGGCAGTAAAAGACCAGAGCGTCCACGCAATACTTGGAAGAGACAAACTGAAGCCGAATTAAAAAACGCTGGAAAGAGCTGGAGTGAAACAAAACGTCTTGCATTAGATAGAGTTCAATGGAAACTATTTGTTACGGCCCTCTGTTCCATCTAGGATTAAAAGGATTAAATATAATGTAATATATCTAAAGTGTTTTTTATCATGTTTTCTAAAATGTTTAAAACTTATTTTTATTTTTTTACATATTATTGCAAACTTTTTTGTTTCTTAGAATTGTCGTAATTTCTGAGAATTTACTTTTGAAATATTTAGAACAAATAAATACAAAATTAAATTATTACAAATAAAAATATCAATAAATTGTTTAATGCATATTAATTATTTATGGGTTTATAGTTATTATTGCACTAAATGTTCATTTGTTTAAGACTTCTAATAAATATTGTACTTAAAAGCTTTTAAAATAATGGTTTACTTATATGAATATTAAATTTGTTAGTAAATTTGAAATTTAATTTCATAAATCCAAAAAACCATTAAATTTAGTTATTTTTATATGTATACCAAACAATAAATCAAAGGAGATTAAATATTTCTGCTTGCGAGTACTACAAAGTAAATAACTACAACGTCATTTTCTGTTTAAGTACAGACAAAATATTACACAAAAGCAAACTGCAAACAGGACGGCTTAAAATACCGAAATACAAATATGCAACCTACGAGATACAGCCAACTTTACAAGAATAATAAAGCACGAAACACAATTTCCTTAAGGCTTAAATAATATTCACTTTTTCATGCAAACTGCACAAATGCTTCCTTAAGCGAAACTACTGACAATGCATTTATCTGTAAGGATTCTGCTATCAAACGGAATTCCGTCTTTTGCAGAGAGAAGAACAAAGTAGACAATAATGCATAGCGCACATTTATGTGGGACTATTATGGAATATAACGAAATGTTTTTATTTGAAAATTTTAAATTCATCACAATTTCTTCTTTTGTATCTCGTGCTTTAAAAATTAACTATCTAAACGGACATTTGTGGCACTAGAATTGTTTTTAGTATCAGCCGTTCACATAATTCCTTACTCTCATTTTTAAACTGGATACTACTATACCATAAGAGGATGTGCTTGATACTCTTCACTTATTTTGCCACTATAAATGTAATGTAATAAGGTTATAGGAATGAAATTTGATAAGGTGTGTTGCTCATTGAACAAAAAAAAAATTATCATATTCCAATTGAAATGATAAAACTTTTAGCTAGTTTTTCATCAAATAGAGAGTTTTTCGTCAAAGTCCAAAACCACTATGCATCTCTAAAGAAAATTTACGCAAGCGCATCTCGAGAATCCACATTGTCTCATTTATTGTATAATTTATATGCAAATAACTGTAACGAATTCACAATATCATAATGATAAAATAATGAGATACTTTCGAAGAGTATATACTGAAAAAACGAAAGCTATGTTCATTACAGAACAAAGAAATCAAAGTCAATAATGTGGAAATAGAATGAAAAGACAATGTAAAATACTGAACTCTGAACTTTGACAAAAGAAAATCTTGGTTAGAAACTTATAATATTGTATATTATTATATATATTACATTATTCCAAGAAAATTGGAATAGTGTGAAAAATAACACTCTGCTTTATAAGTATGGAATTAGATCTAAACTACTTTATGGATGTGTTTCTTTTGGCAATGTTACTCCAGAGACCGTTAGAAAACTTCAAACATCAAAATATTGTATCGAGACGTATGCTAAAAGCTTCATGGCATATCAGAATTGAAGATATACACAAAGACTTGAAAGTAAAGAGTAGCAAAAGTATATCAAAGATAGATTCTAAACTTTTTGATTCTGTGAATGCATGCACGAGTTCAGAATTGATTTAAGAGAATCAAATGCACTATAAACTTCAACAGGATGATATGCTGGGCTTCAAACTATACGGCTGTTAATTCATAACTTCATAATGTATAGTTTATTTTAAGAAATCAACGAGATTTTTGTTATATTGAATCATTTAAGTGATCACAAACACTGTTGTGTAGAAGCGCTTTGGCACTAACTCTAGCTGCATTGAGCAAAAAAAGAAGAAGAAGAATATAAAAACCAGTGTAATCCTTAAAACATCCCATTATAAATGGAATCGAAATAAAGTACAGAATTATATAAACATATATATAGTATTTAAAAATGTTAAAGTGAATGATATTAAATTAAGAATATTAAAATTTTCTACAAAGCACGAACAAACTTTTTTATTTTGCCTTAATTTAATTTATTCTCTTCAGTATATTGAATATACTTTACCCCGCAGGACGTTGCACTCAATATGCATTTATGTATATGACTTCCACAGATACATAGAATTTTAATTAGAAACACGAAGATGCTGTGGTCCCTAAATAAAAAAGTGTAACAGCTGTATTTTAAAAACTTTATTCCAGTTGGTGGTTGCCTTGTAAAACACATCATGCATAGATGAGTACTTTAAAGTTTTCAATATAATTTTATTAAAAACACAATACCAAAACTTATTACTGGTTTATATTTTTAACTTTATTCTCACTTCAATGATCAAAGCAAATAAAGCAGTAAAAAAACCGTAAATTCAGAATAAAAATCTGACAATCGGAAAAGTGCTAAATTATACAGAAAGGTCCACATATGTTCATTTTTCATTCTTTCGAATTTGTTAATAGAGCTTGGTGTGTTTTACTATTCAATTTATTTTATAATAAAAAATGTTCCTTAATTTGTTTTTGTGCTGCATACAAATTGCTGCTGAAATGTCCCTTGCAGCACGCAAACCAAAAATGCATAAAAGAACACATCTGGAGGCGTAAGTACGAGTAATGCTGACTCCTGGCGTATGAGTGTTTCGCGCGAATAGTTCCGATTGTTCACCTGCCATCGTTGAGTGAACAATGCCGTAAAATTTTTCATATTTTTACAATGTATTATTCGCCTTCTTCCTGATTTTCAAATAAGAAATTTTTTTTTCGTGCTTTATGGTTTTCCTGTTGAATTGAGCTGTGAATGCTTTTTCGGTACATAAATGTTGTTGTTGCATATTTCACATAGCCCGCGGCGATATAGAAA